GTTCAGAGTTCTGGGACCATCCCCTGAGCCTGCTCGGTAGGGTATTCTGTGTTGTTGTTGTTGTAGCTCTGTACTACACGTCCACCCGATCTGCCATCTTGTTTGTTCTCGCTCCATTATCTTTTAATTCCATTTTCCCATGAACTTTTTAAAGCCTCCTCATAGTTTTTCAAAGAGTATGATGCTCAAGGCAGACATTTTTTACTAGTTAAGATAAATTATGGTTTGGTTTTAAGAAAGACTTCAGGAGTATTTTTGGTATATAGTTTAAATATTATCTCAAAGCAATAGTTACATCTATCCTCAGGGCTTCAGAAAGTCTGAAGTATGAGAATTTGAAATTCTACTCTGCTTTTCTCCCTTTTGATCAGGACTGCTCTATAGAATCCTTTCAAAATGTTCATAAGGATAGCTGCAAATTAGCCAGTTCTTCTGGTCTCGTGGCAAAGGTGGCAGTTGTTCATGGAGGCAATTAACCACACATTCCATATCCTTCTATTCGTGACTCTCCTTCTTCTGCTGCTCCAGGTGAATAGAACAGTTGTGTCTTGGATGGCCACATTTTTTAAGATCTTAAATTTTTAGGAGTCCTGGTGTGGCACAGTGGGTTAATGCATTGGATTGCAAGGTTGGCAGTTCAAGCTCACCAGTCGCCCCTCGGAAACACTATACAGGGTCGCTATGAGTGGGACCCAACTCGGCCCTTAATAACAACAACATGCAATGAACTAGGAGGTAGAAGCATCAAACATATTATTAGACCAATTGACTGGTAATTAAATAAAACCATGATCCTAAAACTTCAAACTAAGTAACTAAATCCTATAAAGTGTTTGGTTGTTTATTAATCAGTTTTAGCAACAGCTGGTTTTTTGTTTGTTTGTTTGTTTGTTTGTAAGTCATTGTTGTAAATATATTTATCAACAGCTTTGACCAATTCAACTTTTTACAGGTGTGCAACTTCGTGACAGCAATTACAATAACCAGCTGTGCAATCCTACCCTTGTTCAATGTGATTTTCCATTACCATTAATCCCCTCCTCTGCTTGCCTCTGTTAACCACTCCTAAAATGTTCTCTCTGTATGTTTGCCTTTTCTTGTCTTTTTATATAAGTGAAGTCATGTAATATTTATCCTTCAGTGAATGAATTATTTCACGCAGCATACTGTCTTCTAGTTCCATCTACATTGTAGCATGTATCAAGACTTCATTTTGCCTACTGACTGAGTAGTTCATTATTCATGATCTTAATTAATGCTTATATAGCCTGGCTAGGACCCAAATGCTCATCAACAGATGAATAAATAAACAATATGTGGTAAACAAAATGTAGTACATACATACAAAATGTGATACATATATAAAAAATGTAGTCTATACGTGTAATGGAGTCCTGGTGTGGCGCTGTGGGCTAATGCATCAGACTGCAAAGTCATTTGAACTGCAAGGTTGGTGGTTCAAGCTCACCAACTGCTCCTTGGAATCCCTCTACAGGGTCGGAATCAACTCAAAGACACTTAACAACAACAACAACATACATACAATGGAATTTTACTCAGTTCTTTGTTTATAGAGGAAGTGGCAAAAGTTCAGAGGGAAATTTATTGGAAATCAACTCTCTCCCTGCCTTACAAATATTAATGGCCAGTTTCACTTCTTCCAGCTAACTCCATCTTGGTCTGGTATTTCCTTTGGTGCTGCCAGTGGTGGTTAGAGTGTACCTGGGTGATGGAGGTGCTTGTTGCTGGATCCCAGCTAGTGCTTCCATCAGTGCTGAATCTCCTTGGGCTGGCCCTGCAGAGAAGGGACTGGGACCCATTGGGATTCTAGGCTGCCACTGAGCTCTGAAAGAAACAACTCACTGAGACAGCTCTGACGTGAGCACACAGGGAATGCTATGGACTCTGAGGGAGCTAACCATGATAAGCTGATTGATTGACTGCATGTCCTGTTGTTTGTTTGGTAGGAGGTACAGCTTGGACAACGGGACCAGAGATTTGAGTCTCAAGGTCTTCAGCAAGGTGTCACATATCCTGTTTCCTTAGTTGCCTTTAAGGGTGATCGCCGGAGCAGGAGTGTATCCACCACGCTATCTACAGGTAATGTGGAATCCTGTCTTTTGAACAAGAATGCAGTGGGAAGTGTATGTTAGAGAGTCCATAAGAGGTGTTCAAGGAGGAGCAAGTAGATATGTGAGTTATGGATTTCTCTAGGCATGGGGAAATGGGAATGGGATTATGGATTCAAAATCTGGAGAGGGGAGAAAAATGGAGTGTAATTTTGGGAAGGAATTGGGCTGGGGGAGGAAGTGATGTGGACTTGACCTTTGTTCTGATAAATTTGGAAGGATTGTTAAGAGCAAAGTGAGTGACAAAAATACCATATGTGTGAAGATTTGGAAGAAACAAAGCAGTAGGAAGTTATGAAATCCTTGGTAAATAATAGACTGTCTTACAAGAAGGGAAGACAGTCTATTATTAGGGGAGTCCCACTCCCCTTCTTCCATATTGTTCCCCTAATGACACTGTCCTTCTGCTTGGCTTCCAGTTGGTGCCCGTTTTCCATACCCTTCAGACTGCAGTCAGGTTCAGCAGAACAGCAACGTTGCCAGTGGTCTGTATAACATCTACCTGCATGGTGATGCCAGTCGACCCCTGCAGGTGTACTGTGACATGGACACCGATGGAGGCGGCTGGATTGTAAGTCAACTGAGCCCTGGAAGGCTCAATGTTGTTGTCATTGTTGTTAAGTGCTGTTGAGTCAATTCTAACTCATAGTGACACTGTATAGGGATTCTGAGGAGTGGCTGGGAAGTTTGAACTGCTGACCTTGCAGTTCAAACTGATCTTGAGGTGCACACCAGAACTTCATGCAGGGCCTTATTTCTCAGGTCATGCTGCCCCTCAGAACCAGAACTTAGGGAAGAAAGGGGTTTTGCTGTTTTTAGAGGGTTCCCGACCCACTTTAGGAAAAGAGCATAGTCTTTCAACCTAGAATTGAACAAATGAAAGTTGATGACTATGGAGACTTGTGGGTTTCTTCTCATCATCTAACAGTGTCCTGTATTTACCCTCCTCAAAGCACATTTATAAACATGACCCATACAGCAAAACTTTAGCATGACAGAGATTTATTATTCTTTTTGACAGATAGGGAACGAGAAGTCCATAGAGAGACGAGTCTTGGCTAAGTCACACAGCTAATGACAAAGCTGGGGCCAGATTTCAGCCTCCTAGTTCAATGGTCTTCCCAGTGGACCATCTCACATTTCCATGGAAACGCATGGAAACCTCCGAGTTTGGGCCCTTTGTCTGGGTTCTGTGTCCTGGCTTTGCACTATAGAAACAAAGCCTTTGGGACTTTGGTTTTAAAGACGAAAGCCTAAAAGAGAGAAATTTGGACAGTGTTCTGATGTTCCCTCTTCTGTGTGGAGGCTTTGTTCTCTTGGACCATTGTCTGTTTAAACTACATGGCACCTTCTTTGATTGCATCAGCCTGATCCAATTATGAGATAAGCTGCCTTTGAGGATTGCAATCTGGTTCTTCCAGGATCCTCCCCTCTTTCTCCCCCACCCCTCAACTCCCTGTGCCTGAACAGATAGAGGTTCTCACTGCCCTAACTGCTGTGCATTCGCACCTCATTTGGGAGAAGAAAGCATGACCTCATAGTGCTCAAACTATACTCATTTACACATTTGCTCAGGGGCCTGGGAAACACTTGAGCAGCCATGGATAAAATGATACCATCTGATGAGGAGCAATGAAGAAAACTTATTATCCATAGAGCATCTGACAGCTGAAAGGCAGTAATTGGATTGGATGGGTAGAGGGGGTATAATTCCCAATTGATAAAAATAAAGGAACAGAATATAACGTGGGGAGTTTCCACCTGACCAGTCCCATAGGACTGTACCTACTGCTTCTCATCAGCACCATTGTAACTCTGAGCATTCAGTCCTTTCCGGCTTGTTTCCGGCTTGAAGCTCAATTCTCTACCTTTGTGCTCATAATTGATCATTGACTAAAGTTTGTAGTGTCTCGCCTTGCTTTGTTGCACTGGGAAGGAGACATTTTTCTGGGGCACCTTTCAGAAAAGGATCTGACAGTCTGCCTGAAAATACCTATGATTTTGTCCACAGATAGTTATTGAGTGCCTTCTGCATATCAAGTAGTGTTTTATGTACTCGTGATCTGGCAGTGAGGCAAACAGACCAAAGTTCCCACCCTCAAGGAGCTTGTTTTCTACTTCCTTCCCAGGCAAACAATCCTCACTAGAACACAAAGGTCAATTCCAGAAATAATAAAATCATTCTGCATTCTAACCAACACAAGTGCCCCACCCCACCCAGACTCCTAGAAGTACTGCATAAACTGGTATCCTATAAAGCTCTCCTCAAAGCCAACTCACTCCAGAAAACATGTGGTATCCTGAAAACTTCTTTACAAAATGCTTTACTAACAGTTTGTGTGTGTGCGTGCATTTTTTTCCTTTGGCTGAAGAGAGTATTGTCACTTGTTGTTAGGTGCTGTGGAGTGGTTCCTACTCATAGCGACCTTGTATACGTTTACTGAGGAGTAGCTGGTGAGTTTGAACCTCCAACCTTGCAGTTCAAACCGGCCTTGCAGTCCAGTGCATTAACCCACAGGGCTGCAATAGAATGAGGATTACTTCTTTTTGAGCTTTTAAAATCCTTTGAAAGACATTCTTCTCCATTCTAGGCAGCAGAAACCTGGCTTGATTCTCAGACCAGCAGATCCCTGCCCTGAGGGTAACAGGCTGCTGGCGGGAGGCTGGAAGAAAGACCATCAGGGAACATTTAAGTTTTGAATATTTCCATTTGTGTTGCAAGTCTTAAGGACTGCATTAGCAGGCCCTTTCCACAGGCATTTAAATGAAATAAAAAAATTTTCCCCGTCATGATTTAATCATTCAGGACATTGAGAAAGTTCTAGAGTGCAATAACAACTATGTAATATAGAGCCAGAAACAGATAATTTTTTTCCCCCTTGACACTTACTTTTGTTCTCTCAAATAGTTCATGAAGCTGGATTTTCTAGAGAAGCAAAACCAGTGTAACATATATATGTATACATATAAAGAGAAATTATTTGCAAGGAAATGGCTTACATTTGTAGAGTTCCAGGACCCCAGTGAAAGAGAGAGCTGTGTGTCCATTATATTGGGAGTATGCCACACCCCCAAGGAAACATCCTTTCAATTGGCTACTCATAGCCAATCATCATAGAGTTAACTCTGCCTGTGTTAGGATTCATCACCATTGGGATAAGCATTTTTCTACTGCTAAACCACTGGAAATCCTGGTCTAATCTAGTTGACACAGAACCCTAAATATTATAAAGTGTTTCATCCTATCCTGTGAAATGGAAATCAACTAGATTCTGAGTCTATCAAGTAAGGTTGCCTGATCAAGATGTAGAAATGATCCCTTTGGGTGGGCTTATTTGGAATCTGATATAATAAAAAGAAAACTAGCATTTATTGTGCTTATTGTATCTGCATATGTCAGAACCTAGCCTAAGTATATTGTGATGTATTATGATTAATGACCTTGCAGAAGCCTTAGTTTAAGCCCATGACCAATGGGGTATTTACATCTTGATCAAACACCTGGGAAAAGTAAGGTTTGTTAAGATTAACCTGCCCAAGGGGACAGCTACTAAGTGTTAGAGTTGGGTCTAAACACTGAGTGAAAGAGCATTGGAACCCTGTTAGGAGGTTCCATGTCTAAGGTAAATTAAAAATAAAATTTATTTAAAACAATAAAATCAGCATGACTACTTTTGATTTCGATCATGCTTAGCTCACAAGGTCAAGAAGATTATATATGAAGAGACACCAGTGACCAAAATCCAAGCAACCAATTAATTGACAGATATCCAGGGTGGTCCTTCCAGTGTCAACCCAAGGTTTCAGAGGGGGTCAGTTTTCATCTCTTTCAGAGCTAATAAAAAAAGGCAGATCCTTTCTTTCGTCCCAGAGGTGTCGTTTCAGAGCATTACATCTGTGCTTTCCTTAGAGGAGATATTTGCAGGCCAGAGTCTTGTTGAAATGTCAGGTGTCCTCTCTGGTTGTCAGAAGGGCTGATGTTCTCTGTTCCATTAGGAGTATGTGGTCACTGATTGGAAACAGAGACAAAAAGGCCTTTGTAGTGGATCTGTCCTAGGAGGGCAGGATTGGCTTTGTTTGAGCATCTCCTTGGACAGGGAACACAATTTGATGTGACACACATGGGTGTAACCAGACACTTGTGCCACATCCCTCCTATGATTCCACTGTCCACAGTAAGGAAAGGGTCTCAGGGAAAGAATTGGAGCAGGCACCATGTTAGGAAGATAACAAGCAAAGTGTTTTTAGAAAATCGACTCAGTAGAGAGCTGATATGTTTAAACTTTCTGACTGAAAGAGATTTGTGTTTTATCTTTGCATCAATAATTAAATTGTTATTTGACTCTCTTGACTTTTCATCTATGTAAAATGGCATAATACATACTGGCCCCTGACCCAGTACTTAAACCCCAAATCCCAAGCCCACTGTTATTGAGTTGATTCCGATAGCAGTGGGTTTGGGATTTTTGGTTTAAGTACTGTAAATCGACTGTCAATCTTTATAGGAGCTGACAGCCTCATCTCTTCCTGAGAAGCAGCTGGTGGGTTTGAACTGCCAACTTTTGGGTTTTAGTGCCTAACCCACAGTGCCAATAAATGACTGTTAGCAGTCATAGAATCAGCCTGATTCATGTTGAGCCCATCCATAACAGATTTCATTGACTGCTTTTCAGAAGCTGGTTGCCAGGACTTACTTTGTGTTCCTTCTTAGCCGGGAACGCTGGTGAAACCTGACGCTCAATATCATAGCAACCTGCAAACTTCCAGGGAACAGGGGCAAATATAAGGTGCAGGTGCATTGGCCTGGAATTGAACCTGAAATCCCACAGAGAAGGCAAGAGTTATACCACTGAATCACCATGGCCCTCTAAATTGAGTTGACTTCAACTCATGATGACCCATTTATGTCAGAGTAGAACTGCTCTCTGCAGGGTTTTCAATATTAGATTTTCCAGATGTAGATCACCAGCTCATTCTTCCAAGACACCTCTGGAACCTCCAACCTTTTATTTAGCAAGACGAGCACGTTTAACTGTTTGTACCACCCAGGGATTCCATATATGAATGAAGAAACAATGAAGGAAGCCAAGAAAAGAATGAGACATCTTCAAAAGGCAAACTGTAGTGAACAAAGAGAACCATCATGTAAATGTAGTGTGTCATGTTGCCATTAGAATTCCTGAATTCTGTTCAGTGTTTTGTTTTGTTTTTTTACCCTTTAAGGAATGTTTTTTACCCACTTTCTCATTTGGTCCCCCTAGCACCTCTGTGAATCTTTATGGGAGCCATTGGCCACTTTCTACTGTTTCTATCCCAGTTTTACCCCAGCTGACTGAGGCTCAGGGAGAGAAGTGACTGATTCATCATTACCTGAGGGGGGTGGGGTGGAGGGCTGAGGCAGTGGTTTGATCCAGGCTGGGGCTTTCTCCCACCCACTGGGACCTTCCTTTTGGTGCCTCCTGGGCCAGCAAACACAGAAGATTCTTCAGAAAGAGTTGCAAATGCAGTCTTCCCATATCCAGTTTTAGTGCTGTTGCAGGGAGCATACTCTTTTCCTCATTTCCTTTTGCTTCCTAGAGAAAAATGTAAAGAATGCAGAAATATTTGGAGGTTTACATTCCCTAATTCATGACAATGTGTTTTTCTTCAAGGCACACGGTGGAAAGAAGGAGATAGGATTTTGTGTTGGGGTTTCTGCATTTAAATGAATACAAAGGGAAATAGGTAGAGAGAAAAAAGCAATTTCAGCCTTTGGTGAGGAGAACCAGTTAGCTGGGATAGTGTTTTGCTTGACTCTCAAGATCATGCAGAATTATATGTATTATCAGTTCTAACAGTATATACTCAGTTGTGTTTAGCTCTTTGGTACTTTTCAAGTTTACTTCATATAAAGGAATCCAATTTACTTGGACTGGAACTGCCTTCTATCCCCAAATAGAGGAATTTTGCAAATAAAGCAGCCCACTCTCTCATGAAATAGTATCTAATTCTGTATCCGTTTTCTTACTTCTCACTCATTCTTTAACCCACTCCAGTTTGGCTACTGCTATTCCTTTCCCAAACACAGCACTTGCTAAAGTTTGTGTGTTACTAAATTCTGTGGACAGTTTGCTTTTCATGTTCCTTGACCTCTGATCAGCATTTGACACTGTTGACCACATTTATCTTTTTGAAATATATTCTCTTTGTGGCATTAGTGGTACCCCATTTTTCTTGTTTTCCTTCTACATCTCTAATTGCTTGTCTCTGTGTTCTTAATGAACTCATCCTTCTCGATGGATGTGGCTATTAAATGTTGAAGTTCCTCAAGGCTTGATTCTAGGCCATATTCTCTCTTCAGTTCCTATTTTCTCCCTAGGTTGTGTCATTCTTTCCCATGACGTCATTGCACTAGTCCCAGTGGCTCTCTCTGTATTAGGATATCATGGGCTATGTTGCTGTAACAAACAAACCCCATATTCCAAATGGCCTAACAAATGATGCTTTGTTTTCTCATTTGTACAAACTCTTTTTGGATTCTGCAGCCACTTTTAAGTGGCAACCCAGGGAGTCAGGCTGTTTCCATCTGGTAACTCTGATCTTTCCACATGTGGCCTTCGCCATGCATGGTGACAATATAGCAATGGGAGAATCCCACTCATTCTTCTGTGCTCCCACTCACAGAGCTTTATTTAGAACAAGTCACATGGCTCCAATTTTAATGCTAAGGAGGATGAATGAGGAGGTCTTCCTGTGTTCCTGGCAAGAGAAAAATAAAAGCCACTTGGGAATACTTCTAATTGTCTCAGACACACTCCCACCTTACCAGTCCAGCCAGACCTTGCTTTAGAACTCAGGGTCCTCCCTTCAGTGGACTATATAGCAATCTCACCAGGATGAATAAGAATACTGCAGAGTCAACATGTTCTAAAATGAGCTCATGACATGCACCCAAAAGACCTGTTATCTCTCAGCATCTCAGGGAAAAGTTGCATGAATAGCCACCCAGTTCTATAATCTCCGAACACAAGAATCAGTCTTGACTTCTTTCTGTCTTCCAACTCCACATTCAGTCAATCACCAAAAATGATTGATTGGTTAAATCTGGCCAATTGAACCTTCCATCCACTTCTGTCTATGTCCAGTGCAGCCCACTAATCTAAGCTCTTTTACCAGTACTATACAGTCTTCTTCTAACAGATCCTCTTGCCGCCATTCTTGCCTCTGGCCAGTCTATTCTCAACATTTGGAGCTTGAAGTATCTTATGAAGGGGCTCTGGTAGCGTAGTGGTTATGAATCAGGCTGTGAACTGCAAGGTCAGCAGTTTGAAACTACCAGCTGTTCTGCGGGAGAAAGATGAGGCATTCTGCTTCCGTAAAGATTTACAGCCTCGGAAACCCTGTACAGGGTCACTATGAGTTGGAATTGACTCCACGGCACATAACAACAACAACAACATAAAGGTGTAAATAAAAACACATCCTTCAGTAGCTTCCATCACTCTTATTATATAGGCCAACATCTTTAAAAAACCTGTTAAAGGTGTAAATAAAGGTGTAAATAAAAACACACCCTTCAGTAGCTTCCATCACTCTTATGATAGGCCAACATCTTTAAAATGCCTGTTAGCTCCCTGCTAGGTCTGACCACTGCCCATCTTTGCAGACCTACCCCTCTCTTCCTAACCAGTCCCCACAGTCCCGACATTCCAGCCTGCAGTCCTTTTGCCTGACTACCCTTACTCATCCTGCAGCTCTCAAATGATTCCTGAGGGGAGCGTTTCAGTTCCCCAGGCAGGCCTTCTTAGTACCTGCTCACACGGTCCTATCCCACCCTTCCCTGGTAGCCCTCACCACAACTTTACTTGTACACTTATTGGTCTCATTCATTGTTTGATGGTTTTACTGTACTATTAGCTCCATGAGGACAAAGAACTTTTCTGTTTTATTCATTTTGCACATCATCTTGCACAATGCAAAGTGCACAGGAGATGCTCAATAAATATTAGCGGGATAAATGAACTTTCTTTTCCATAACTATTAAATAATTGCCTGTATTAAGAATCTAATGAAACAATTAGTACTGCTAGACAAGTCAAGGAGGAAAAAGGTAGCATACAGAGTGTCCAGTTGAGTTAAACAGATGCTAAAAGTGATAGGTGAGAGTAGGCAGAAGTCTGGAATGTCCTTCCCTAACCAACCCACCACTAGCAGCCACATCACCAACTCTTCAAATTTCCTCCTGCCTTAAAATAGAAATTGCTTGAGGGAAAGAATCTACTCTGCTTTTATTGTATACATTTCAGTATTCAGTATACTGTTGTATACGTAGAAAATGCTTACGAATATAGTAAAAGCTGTGAATCTACCAAAATAAAAGAAGTACCCGAATAGAGCAAATGGTTAAACTCTCAGTTGCTGCTAACCAAATGGTCAAAGGCTTCAGTCTACCTAGAGACACCTGGGAAGAAAGGCTTCTAAAAGTTTATAGGCATTGAAAATCCTGAGGCATACAGTTCTGCGCAGATACACTGACTCACTGTCAGTGAAATCTACATGAAAGCAACTGTTTTAACTTTTTAAATTCTTAAGCCAATATACTTTTTTATTTTAAAGAAAGATATGCTAGCCAGAGGAAGTCAGTCCCTTATCAGAACAACTTTGAGATGGATAAGTTCTATCCCCTCCCACTCAGCTATACCTGTGCACATTTATCAGCATGAATTGTTCATCTCTCTTCTCAGGTTTTCCAAAGAAGGAATACTGGGCAGCTGGATTTCTTTAAACGCTGGCGGAGCTATGTGGAAGGCTTTGGGGACCCCATGAAGGAGTTCTGGCTTGGTATGATCTCTCAGAATCCAGGAGGTCTGGGTTTAAAGGGTTGATTTTCCTCTTGAAAAGCTGACCAGTTTGAGGATGCTCACAGCATTTAGGGAGAGATCCAGGTAACATGGACTCTCTGAGGAACCTGTAGACCGGGGTGTTGGTGGGCTCTCGCTGCTGGGAAAGTTCTCATAAATTCTGAGAGTTCTGTGAAAGGATAGGATTGTTTCAAGATGATTTTTATGCTGTATCTATGTCCTATAAGATCTTCCTGGAGCCTGAAACTTATAAACCACAGTACTGGGAGAATAATTGATTGACTGGGATTCTGAGATGTTATCAAGGGGTAGTTCCAGTAGTCTCTGAAAGTCTACTAGTTATGCCATGGGCATCATATTACAATGAATATGGGCCATGGGCATCATATTACAATGAATATGGGCATTGTGTGTTTTTTCTCCCCTTCAACCAATGCCATATTCTGGAACAGATGCTCATAGAGAATTAAACGGCCAAAAACACCAACTGGGAAATGAGGAAATAAAAACTCATAATCTGGGTACTTGGTTTCTGAGTTAATGATGTTTGTGGTTTGCCTGATAACAAAATCCCCTTCAGAGATCTTAGAATGAGTAGATAATCTATTCTCCTACTTGGTGAGACAAATGGATGATGCATGGGACTGTTTCTGCTTCAGAGAGGTGGAGTCAGAGGAGGCAGGCTCATCCCAGGAGGACCCTCCACTCCTTTGCTACCCAGGACACGTTTGCTAGAACAACTGTGCAAAGAAATAAGAGGATGAAAAAATGAGACTTCCATCCTCAGAAAGGAAGTGTTGGGGAAGGTCCCTCATTAGCAGAGGCAGGTAAAGGCTAAGGGTGACCTTGGATCCTGAAAGTCTCAGGTGCAAATGGTGAGTGCTCACAGACACACTCACTCACTCACTCACTCGGGTTGATTGTTTGAATTTCTATTCCTTGTTTTTAGGACTTGACAAGCTACACAATCTCACCACTGGCTCTTCTTCCCGGTATGAGGTGAGAGTGGATCTACAGACCGCCAATGAGTCTGCCTATGCTGTATATGATTCCTTCCAAGTGGCCTCCAGCAAGGAGCGGTATAAGTTAACTGTTGGGCAATACAGAGGCACAGCAGGTAAGAAAAAAATGTTTTCTTACTGTTGGTGTATCTAAGGATTGGTTTGCCACATGCCATGGCTCTGGCAGTGAGGTATTGTTCGGCAGAGGACAATTATCCACACTAACAATGCCTACTCCTTGCACAGTTGTTGTTAAGTACCCTGGAGTCGGTTTCAACTCATTGTGACCTTGTACAGGGTTTCCGAGGCTGTAAATCTTTATGGGAGCAGAAAGTCTCATCTTCCTCCTGCTGAATAACTGATAGTTTCGAATTGCTGACCTTGAGGTTAGCAGCCTGACTTACAACCACTGGGCTACCAGAGTGCCTTCCCTGCATGGGTAGGGGTGAACAAAGTGAACCAGACAGTTCCTGACCATCATAAAACTGGAACTTTCATCCGTTATGTTTCCCCAATTAAAAAAAAACAAAACAAAAAATCTTCTCTTCTTGCTTGATCTCTTCAGATTCAGGTTGTCGTACCTGAGCAGATGAACCCACATTATGTGCTATTTGTCTGGTGCCTGACAGTCTTTCTTTCCGCTTCAACAGTGTGTATTATTAAATATTTTATGGCTTTTGGTTATAAGTGAAGATAGGAAAATGAAAGTGCTGATTCAAACAATAAGTATAGGTCTCATTAACTTAATACAACTGTGACAACATAGAAATTAACAGTTGAGCAGGAAACGAGGAATCTTTAGCCTCAATTAGCTGCTCATTGGATCTAAGCTGGTTGATGGTGTGTTCAGCTGTGAAGGAAAAGAACAAAATTAAGCAACTGAAATTACATCACTGACTATTTTATCTAAGAGGGAAGGTGTGGTTAATATTTTAATTCTATATTTTAAACATGTTTATAGTTTTAAAGCCCTAACAAGGAAGCCAAGGAGTCCTGGTGTGCACTGCTGGATATGTGTTTGACCGCAAGATCTGTTTGAAGCGCAAGGTCGGCAGTTCAAACTCACCAGCTGCTCCTCAGAAACACTATACAGGGTTGCTGGATGGGAACTGACTTGACTGCATTTAACTACAACAACAAAGAAGTGGGTTACACATTGGGCAAGGTCAACAGTTTGAATACACCAGGTGCTCCGTAGGAGAAAGATTATTAAGTGCAAGACCAATAGCTTGAGTCTGTCAGTTGCTCCATAGGAGAAAGATGAGGCTTTCTGCTCCTGTAAAGACTTACAGCCTTAGAAACCTTAGTCAGGGTCACTGTGAGTCATAACTGATTTCACAGCCAGGCAACCAACAAGGAAGTCTGATACTGGACTTTTGCATGTTTGTGCTATGAGCTATGCAGGAATGTGCTATGAGCAATGTGCTATGAGCAAAAGTTGGCTGACTAGATAAGGCATAGCCTCTCTCTTTAGACTCACATACAAACAGATGAATAGTCACATAGCTTTAAAAAAGAGTCAAGTAAATGTTAAGGAAAACAATGGGTTACAGTAGTGTGGAGAAGATGATACCTCGAAGACTGGGCTTGGTCTTGTGTCTGAAGGAAAAACAGAACCTCACATGAGGGAAAAAGAATGGGCACTCCAGGCCTGGAGCAGTCTAGCAGTGAGCAAGGACTGAGCAGAACAAGGAGATTGGGTGTACTTCTATTATTTTTTATTGTGGTAAAACACACATAGCATATAATTTTCCAATTTAACCAAATTCAAGTGCATAACCAGTGGCATTAACCATACTCACTATGCTGTGTAGTCATTACCACTATATGTTTAAAACTTTTCCTCATCCCAAACAGAAACTGTGCAATCCCTAAACAATAACTACAGTGCCTCCTAACCAATCCCAGTTCATGGGAACCACTAATCTACTTTCTACTTCTGTGCATTTACCTAATCTTGGTATTTCATACAAATGGGACCCGACACTATTTGTCCTTTTGGGTCTGGTTTACTTCATTCAATATAATGCTTCCCAGGGTCATCCATGTTGTTGCATATATTAGAACTACATACTTATTTATGGTAGAATAAAAGATCACATTTTGTTTATCCACTCAGCTATGGATGGAGACTTGGGTTGTTTTAGCTCTTTGGCTATGGCAAATACTGTTGCAATGAGCACTGGAGGACAACTACTTACTTGTGTTCCTACTTACTTAGATTCTTCTGGGTGTATTCCTAGGATTGGAATTGCTGGGTCATGTTTGGGGTACATTCTTAATGCCTTTCAGTTCTTCTCAAAATGATCCAATCCAGAGTTCTGTATGTAAGTACCTTTGAATGTCTGGGACCATGATCCAAAGTGACCAACTGCTAGTGCAAACATTTTTTCAGATCTCATAATTAAAATAAAATGCACCTAACATAGAATCTGGTGCAGAGTAGGTGGTTAAAAAAAAAAGTCCTGAATATTCTCCATCTTAAAGAATAGTTTCTAAGACCCAAACAGCTTCTACTGAAGTTAGTGAAGAGGTGAACTTGGTGACATGGTAGGAGACAAAGTGGGACGGTTTTTGAGATGCAGACACAAAAGAGTTTGTCAAGGATTGTGAGTAGGGTTTGACTGGGGAAAAGTATGCAGAGAATTGTTTCAGGGGAGAAAACCACCAAACAATCCTTGGAACACAAGGTGCTGTAGCTAAAATGCCTACATTGCTTTAGAGATTGCAGCTTCTCTTTACACAGTTGTCTTGGGTTTCCACAGGTTGGAAACAGGCCAAGCAACCTTTTATATTGCACTGTGGCCACTTCTGGTGTGGCGCTGTAGGATAAGCATTGCACTGCTAACTGCAAGATTGGAAGTTGAAACCCACCAGTCACTCTTGGAAACCTTATTCAGGGTCGCTATGTGTCAGAACTGACTTGCCAGCACACAACAACCACTCAAAAAGAGCTCTGCTGGCTGTGCTATTACCTGAAAGGTTGGTGGTTTGAACCCGCCAACTGCTTGGTGGGAGACAGATGAGGTAGTCTGCTTCTGTAAAGACTTACAGCCTTAGAAACTCTATGGGGCGACTCTACTCTCTTCTCTATTTTTGTTATGAGTCAGAATCAATTGGATGGCAACCGGTAATGAGTACTTCCACTCAGCATACAGTTGAAAAACAATCACAGTTGAGTCAGCTCCTCCTGTTCAAGGAGACCCCATGTGTGTCTGAGTACAAGTGTGCTCCATGGGGTTTTCAGTGACTGAGGTTTTTTTTTAATGTTTTATTGTGAATTATATGATAGTTTACATGGGAGAACTTTAGTTTTACATTCATTCCATCGTATATCATCTCATTGCCATGGTTCCAATCCCCTCCATGCATCATCATCCACCCAAAGGGTCAGTGGCTGAGTTTTTACAAGTAGATTGCTGGGTCTTTCTTCCCAGGTGCTCCTGAGTGGAGTCCAGCTGCAAACCTTTTGGTGAGTAGTGAAGTGCATTCATTGTACCATCAAGTGTCTTCCAAAGTATAATATAAAGCACAAAAGTTCAGACATAGACGAAAACCATTTAAAATATCATTGGGAATCAGAGATGGATATTCATATAGTTTATAAGGATATCATCTGATGGAGGAAAGGTTTAAAATGTCATTTTGTAGGACTAAGCACTCTGCCTGCCTTTTTTCTCCCTATCTCTAAATAAGATCGGTTTCCGTTCCCAGGAGTCTGTTCTAGGAGCTCCCAACCTTCTGGTGTGATTGCTGTACCCCTTCCAGTTTCCCCTTAGACCCTTGGGTATCTTCCTACTCTGGTCTCAGTCACATGGGGCAAATCTGGTCACTTCTTTTGTTTAGAAAACCCTTTCACTGTTCTCCAGCATGATGATGGGATAGTTCTCAGCTTTTCCCTCCTCAGGCAAAAGAGTCCTAGACTCAGAGGCTCCATTCATGGGATCTTCCCCGGAATGCAGTTGGGGTGTTTCCCTTTAGCAGCTGAGCCCCACCTCTGTCCCCAATACCCAGTGCCCTCACTGACCTCTTGGTCTTTGCTGGTACCTGTCCTCCCAGGTGGTATTGCTAGGACTCACCATTCCCCTTTCCTCCATCATTCCATTTTACCATTTCTGAGCCCTGTCTTGAATGAACTGTTGCTCATATGAGAGTGAACAGAAGGGAATCAACATTTTTATGAATTAATGTGACTATTACCCCCGCCCCCAGGTACTTTATGATATATACATTTTAACTATAATCGAGAGATAATTCCTGCTTTAAGGTTGTTCGGGCCAGCAGTGCAGGTCAGTGGAGGCTGTATTTTTTAATAGGAAGCCTAGGGAAACTCTCAAATCACACAGCATTCGGGCAGCTATTTAGTCTTCCCAAGTGTGTTCTTTCTGACTGTGAAATTCTGAATTACAGTGGTAAAAGTGGGGCTGGTGGGGGAGCTTCATCTTTCCTTGTGTATGCTGATTGGTCCATGAGGAGAGTTTGAAATTTTCAGAAGCTCATGGCTATTCTCCTGCCAAATGATGAGACAGTGTTTAGAGGACATGGTGCCCAAATGAAATTGTGGATGTTGATATCTCTTTGCATGTACCAGCTTTTGATTTTTTTCCCCATTTCAACACTTAAAATTTATTTTAGATGGTTCATTGTGATAAAAATATAAATTGCAAAACACTTGCCATTTTAACATTTTTTTTCTTACCTGTATAATTTAATGACATGAATTTTGCTCATTACGTTGTGCAACCATCACCCTTAACAGATGTTCAGTGCCCCCACTTCTCCCCCAGCAATGACTTAGCCTTCCCTCTCCTCCCTTGGTAGTCATTAAAAAACATTGGTCTCTATCCATACCTTTGCCAAGCTGTAGGTATTTCATAAACGAGCACTGGTAATGTAGTAGTTATGAGTCAGGCTGCTAACCTCAAGGTCAGCAGTTGGAAACTACCAGCAGTACCGTGGGAGAAAGATGAGGCTTTCTGTTCCCATGAAGATTTAAAGCCTCAGAAACCCTGTACAGGGTGGCTACAAGTCAGAACCAGCCCCGCAGCACATAACCAGCACCACCACCATATAATATTTGTCTTGAAGTCATATTGGAAAGTCCATTTGTCTCCGTGAAGGAAATCCCAGCAAGTAAATTTAGTTTAGGTGTGTAAGTTTAGTTTTTGATGCCGAGTCCTGGAATACAGGTATCTTAGGAGTTTTACCTTCCAGATGCTATTTATCCTTTTAGAGATTGTTATGGAAATATAAATAGATAGATGTTTAGAAACGAGTATTGGTGCAGAATGACTCCTATTATAAGTTATAGTTGATTTCAAGTCCTACTTGCATGGGACTCAGAGGACAGTTGGAAATGAGACTAGGGAACACTACCCACATTTAGTGAGCAGGTGCCAGAGAAATCAAATATCCACAGTGAAGAATTTTTCTACCCCACATGCCAGTGCCTTCCTTATTTGAAGTGGAGTTTTAAAGTTTGGCATTAAAAATAAAAATAAAAATAAATAAAAAATTATTGGAAGCATGGACAAAAGTGAAAGGTAGTAATAGCACGTATCACTTAACCCTTTCCTTCACCCACTCCTGGTACCAGGGTAGAAGACATTCAGTGTCCAGACCTATGGCCCTGGGCCTATGTGTGACTTACAGGGGGTAGGATATTGGTGGCTCTTGTTGGTTCATGATACTCAGCTGCCTGGATCCTCATCTTCCCTGTCCCAGGGAGGAGAGTGGGTCTCAGAGTGACATTTTTATGAGATATTCGATGACCAGCTCAGTGTCCCTCCCCCGAGACTCAGGTTCAGATCTTTCATGGGCTTGTCACCAACACCCACTTCCGCCTACCTGAGATGAACTAACTTCCTACTCAAAGCCATTATATTAGAAATGAGATGCTTATTTCTCAATGTTTTCTCCAAAAACTCAGAAGAGAGGGATATTACCAGCATTGACTCAACTACTTTATCTTACTTAGGGAGATAAGCCTAATAAATCAGAGGTTCTCAGCTGGGACCTGATGACCAGAGCCCAGTTAGTGTTTGATTTATGAGCACACTTACTATCTACACCCTGAACATTAGTATGACTTCAGTTTCTAGAAGGTAGAAAATTCATCTACAGGGGGAAAAAAAAAACAAAACCCAAAAAACTCAATGTTTAAGCCAGAAACTGCTTCCTCTTTCTCTGTCTCCTGTACCCAAGGTTAGATAACCACAGATAGATCTTTAGGAAATAGCCTGAGCGTACATTCTTAGAAATAGCTCCAGGAACTTTATAAGCAAATTTAGGTGAACTGTGCTCATTGCTAAAAGTTGCAAGGGGAACCAGTGAGTGTTGTTTCAAGCAGTAGTTAACTTTCAACATGAAATCAGAAGGAAGGAAGCAATACATGTGAATAAAGGGGGAATTTCTTTCTTTGGACAGAGAAAAATGCCTGTGTCCGAGTGGCTGTGTCTGAGTGGGGGGTGACTTATAACACCTGGGTTTTGCTGGGTAACAGAGTCAGAAAGGCGATCAGAACTTGCCCTTTAAATACAGGCTGTGTCATCAACCCTGGATGTATCGCTCCCTCCCTCCCACGCCCAGCCAAATTCTTGAGAGCAAGGATCTCCTCATTAAAAAAAAAACAAAAAAACGTTTTATTCTGAATTGAGTAATGGTTTACAGACAAGATCATCAGCTTTATATTCAACAAACCATCCACTTTGTTTTACCTCAATGATTACAATCCCCTCCATGGAACAAGAGTTAGCCATCCCTCTTCCTCCCTGTGGTTTCTATTTCCATTCCACCCACCTACCCATCCCTTCTCAACTTTGTCCTTAGGTCAGTGTTGCCCTTTAGATTTTGAGTGATTGATCATTTCATGGTGGGCATACCTTACTGTTGTCCCCCACTACAAACCTATCTACTGCCTGACTGAAAATTGGGCCCAAGAGTGAGCTTCTTTCCAGATTTGAAGAGTGGTCGAGGGCCAGAGTGTAGGGTTCTTCCAGTATCTTTCTGACCAGCAAACCTGGTCTTATTTATTTATTTTTTTTAATTAAATCATTTTGAGTTTTGTTCTACATTTTCTCCCACTCTGAGACCCTCTAATGTGATGCTTTTCAGGGCATTTGATAGTGGTAGCCGGGCACCATCTAGTTCTTGTGGGGGGATCTCCACATTTTGTATCTTCAGAGCCAGCCATAGTGCTGGCCTATAGTAGATATGCCATAAATGCTACCTGAATAAATACATAAAATTGAGGCCAGAGGGTCTCAAACTTTAGCTTGCATTAGAATTATCTGTGTCTTGTTTAAACACTTATTCCTGGGCTCTACACCCAGAGTGGAGTCCTGTTGTGGTGCTGTATGGTAAGCATTGGACTTCTAACTGCAAGGTCAGCAGTTCAAACTCCTGAGCCATTCCTCAGAAACTTGGGTTTTTATAATTTGGAACTAACTCTTTGGCACTTAACAACAACAACACCCTGAGTATCTGGTTCTGTAGGTCTGGGTCGGGGGAACCTAGGAAGTTGCATTTGTAACAAGTTCCCAGGTGACACTTAAGTCCCTGGTCTGGGACCCCACATTGAGAACTGTTGTTGTAGACTGCTCCAGAGGGCTGGCTCTAGTGAGCCTAACTGAAAGGCTTCTGTTGCAATAAGGTAGTCACAGGTGAACTGATGTCTCAGAGAGAACACTGGACTTGATATCTGAGGATCAAGATTTGGATTCTGTCTCTGCTGTTAATGAGCTGTAAGTTGATTTCCTTATGGGACTAAGAGTTGCGTGTCCCATTTGAGAGCTGCTTTTCCCATGGGCTGTTAGAACCAAATGAGAATGCATACATGAAGATAATTAGTAAACTCAGATATTAAATTTCGATTATTGTAGGAACAGAACTTGATCAAGTTTATTGCATTTTGTGAGCCGAATAAAAAGTTAACTATAAAAGAGTAACAAATATGATAGGGAACCAGGACAAATACAAGTGAAATAATTAGAGCAGAAATATAGACAGGGTGTAACCAAGCATTAAATTGTCTATGTAGAAGCTGTGGTGAGTGTGTGTGAGAGACAGGTAACTGATTGGGTTCTTGGCATTCTTATGAGTAGAGATTTTCCTTCCAGGTCTTCTTTTGGACCATAGTATGCCTATCCACCTCAATGGCTAAGCCTAAGTTCTTGGATCCCATGTTTTCTTTTCTGCAGGAGATGCTCTGACTTACCACAATGGATGGAAGTTTACAACTTTTGACAGAGACAATGATATTGCCCTCAGCAACTGTGCTCTGACACATCATGGCGGCTGGTGGTACAAGAACTGCCACTTGGCCAACCCCAATGGCAAATATGGAGAGACCAAGCATAGTGAGGTAGGTGGCAGGTGAACATTTCTTTTGTCCCGTATTGTGCACACATCCAGGTCCCAAAGAGATCCCCTCCAGGTTAGTTTGGCTGTTCCTCTCCTTTCAGTGCTTTCAATTAGGGCAGTAGGGCTTTTCCTTCAGGTTCCCTGACCCTGAGATCATGGCCCTCCCTACTCATCTGTCATTCCCTTCATTGCTCCACATTTGCTTAGTGGCAGAGCTCCAGCTGCCCACTGCTGTATAAAGACAGATGTTATGGGTCTAACATTATCCTACTTTACTTGTTCACACACACGGACACTTCATAGTCCTTTCTAACTCTCCTGGTTATGCCAGAGTGATTTTTCTCAAGTGGTTTGATTACAGGTATAACTGGGTCCTTTCTGCCAAGGTCAGACCCACCTTTGGATCTAGTTCACCCAAAGCTACCCAAAGTCTGCCATGAAACAGAAAACCTCCCATACAAAATCAGTTGCCATAGAGTCAATCCCAACTCATGGTGAACTCACATGTGCTCCATAGAGTTTTCAACAACTGAGTTTTCAGAAGTAGATCTCCAGGACTTTCTTCTGAGGGGCCCTGGGTAGATTCCAACCCGTACCCTTTTGGTTATCAATGAGTATGCTAACTATTTGTTCTACTTGTGGATACCAGTCTGCTCAGAGCACCATGTTAAACAAGTCTCTCTATTTCAGAAATGTGTACCCCAGAGCTAAGAGTCAATGAGGGTTCCTCTCTCCTTCCTTTCTCTGAAACTTTCCTACCAGCATTTTTTCCAATCTCCATGACCTCTATACTTCATCTAGACATTTCACTAGCTATTGGGCATCTACCACCTCCTCCCTTTGCAGTTTCTTGAAAATTGCATCTTTGTTCCTCCTCACCATTAATCTACCCTCCTCCATGAGCCCTCCAGCACTCATCGTGAATTTCCAATTTTCCATCCTGGGCCCCAGGAAGCCACCCTGCCCCAGAATGCACCTTGTCACTCACATGACTGTAAATATTAGCTCATCTAAAGTCCAGGTACATACTGATTACTTGGCCCTGGCCAGGCTACAGGGACACCCAATCCTTAAATGAGTTTTCAAAGGGAAGAAGAAATTTGCCCTCAGGGAAGCCAAGGACGGTGGGCTTATGACTCATGGTGGCAGCATGTGGGCCAGCTCAGGGAAGCCTAGGATCAGAGATCAAATATTTGAAATGAGCAGCCAGCATGCCCCAAACCATCCGTATATTTGCTAATAAAAGACATTCATCTGCTTAATGTGCTTTTCACAGTCTGCAAAGCATTTAGCTTCTTGTTTATTATTTACCTCACAAATTAAAATACATAAAATTGGTCACTTGGGCTCTTTATTGGCCAGGTTGCAGGGTTATTAAGTGAATTAAATATTATTACGCTCACCAGTCAAAAGACATAAAATGAAATTTAGTTCTCAGCAGGCTATTTGCTACCCCAGAGCTAATATCTAAACAATCTAAATTGGAAATGATGTTACACAATTGACCAATTAATATGTTTATTTTTTGCCTTTTATTTATTTATGTTTTTGGAAAGGAAAAGAGGGAAACAAACATAATTTGATCATTGCTGGCCAGGTTGACCCTTGTTGATATTGGCCTCCCCTCTGGCTTCACCCTTCCTCAATCTGTCTAACCCCAGATGCCCAGTAGAGGGCGCATTCTTTTTGAGATTTTTCCAGACATTCCCCGCCCCTTTTCACGACTTGTCCTTTTTCTCTCCCTAACTGGACTGCAAGTGTGGCAACAGTAGTGAGGTTGGCCCAGGATCGGGCAGTGTTTCCGTCTGCTGTGCATAAGGCCGCTATGAATCGGTACCAACTTGATGGCACCTAACATCAACAACTGGACTGCAAAGTCGGTTTGAACCTCAAAGCTGGCGGTTCGAACTTACCAGCCACCCCTCAGAAACCCTATACAGAGTTGTTATGAGTTGGAACCGACTCGATGACACTTAACAATAACAAGCGAGAGGAGGGGAGAAAGATGAAGATTTCGGCTTTTGTAAAGATTTACAGCCTCAGAAACCCTGCATAGGGTTCACAATGTGTTGGAATTGAGTCGATGGCTGTGTTTTTGTTTTTTTTTAAGTGGAGTGAGAACGCAGCCTTGGTGGCACACTGGTTAAATGTTGGGCTACCAACTGAAAGGTTGGCGGTTCAACTCACTAGCTGCTCCATGGGAGAAAGATGAAGCTCCCTGCTTCTGTAAAGATTTACAGCTTTGGGAACTGTAAGGAGCAGCTCTACTATGTTGAATTGGTATAGCCTCGCGGGCAGTGGCTTGGGTTGTGTTGGGAGAGTCTCTTTGTGTTACTGTTAACAGAAAGTTTGATGGTTTGAATCCACTCAGTGGCACCTCCAAAGAGAGACCTGGTTATCTACTTCTGGAAGATATACAGATAAACAAAAACAGCCACGGAAAGCCCTATGGAACACATTCTATGTGACATGCATGGGGTCACCATGAGTTGGCGTTGTTTTAAGCATACAGGGAGTGTTTTCAAACGAACACTTCCGGGAACCATAACCCCACCCATACCCTCTCAAATGCCTCTTCTTGATTTTTTTTTTTTTTTTTTTTTTAATGTAGGGGGTGAACTGGGAACCGTGGAAAGGACACGAATTTTCCATTCCTTATGTGGAATTGAAAATCCGCCCTCATGGCTATAGCAGCGAGCCTGTCCTGGGCAGAAAGAAGCGGACGCTAGCAGGAAAGACAAGGACATTCTGACGGCCCATTTTAGCAATCGCTGCATGAGACAAGACCAGCCCAGGCTGGAGCAGTACAAGTGTGGGGTGGGGTGGGGCGGGGCGGACAGTGGTGACTGGCCAATGGCAGTTTGAGGGATGCTGATAGCCTCTAGTTTCTGAGATCGCTGAATAACCTGAGGGGCCTGTGTGATTCAAAGCTTGTCAAGCTTCAAGTCATAGACTCCCTCACTCCCACCCCCTCACCTGCTTTATTGCCCATGTGATATTACCTATACAGTTGGCCTTCTACATCAACAAAACCAAAGTTACACAGTGTGCATAGACCAGACACTACTGGAACGCCAGGGTTTCTTAGCCAATCTCCATTAACAAACACGTTTGATTAGGGCAAAAAGGGGATTGTTCAGCATTTTACCAATTAGAAAGTTCTAGAAAAAAAAAAAATCAATGCTCTGCTAGTACTAATCTTCTCTCTGAAAAGAAGCAGCAAAGAGAGGTTCTGATTACCAAGAGGCCAGTTCTGAGGTAGTCTGATGCTTGCTTGTTACCTCCTGTTTCCCACTGACCTTTGAGGAAAACCGTGTAAATCTCCTTCCCTTCAATTGCTGGTGCTCTGAGGATGAATAAAGGGAACAAAAAGAGACCCAGATGGATTCCATTTAGCTAGATTCTAACTAGCATTCAGCATGCTGGAAACCAGGAGCTTTCACTTTACTGCTATTTTTAAGTGCCCCCTTTCCAGGTATTTGCATAATCACTTTCATAGATCTGCATATGTTGTGAATAAATTCTCACTCATTTCAAATCTCTATAATTTGACTCTCTTGATAATTGGTACCTCCCGAAGTCTCTTCTATGGCTCCTTTCCCTCCCTGCAAACCCTTAGCCTCCTGCCTTCCTGGGTTTCTCACACTATTGGTCTCCTGGAGTTTCCTTAACACAGCACAGCGCTGCACTGTGTTGGGGCTTACTGTTTGAATGGAGACTTGGCAAGGTCAGATTCTTTTTGCTAATTGTCCCATTATTTTGGAAGGATTTCTGTAGCGAATTCAATGACCACTGAAGTAACTTACATTTCTATTCAAGAAAAAAAAAATTAATAAACCACTTGATTTAAAAAAAATATTTTTTTGCCTTGTGTTATTTTCTCCATTTAAGTGCACTTGAATTCTAAATTTAGAATTTAAATTAAATTTAGAATTTAACCTAAGTGCACTGAAGGTACAATTTGTGCATTATAATGGAATTTGGTTGGCTGTGGTCTTGTTCTTGTGTGATGGATGACAAATCATACTTTTTGGAATGTAGGAGGAGGGAGTAAGTGGGAAAGAAGACAATTAACGTAACAGCTGCAGGCTACCTGTAGGACTTCAGTGGAGTTTACTGTCTCCATTTCTCCACGTTTTAACCTCTGGGTGAATCACCAAGCCATACTCCTGAAACATTATTATTGATACTTTTGTCAGTGTTTTAAGCAAGGGCAGTAGTGGTATCATGGTAGAATTCTCTATTTCCATCCTGGAGACCTGGGTTTGAAAATCATGTGCAGCCACCACTGGGCTGTCAGTAGAAGGTTTTGAATTGCCCTGATGCTGAGCACGTTTCAGCAGAGCTTCCAGATTAAGACAGACTAGGAAGAAAGACCTGGTGATCTATTTCTGAAAATCAGCCAGGGAAGACTGTATGGATTGCAAAAATCTGGCAAACAACTGATCATGGGCATAGCACAGGACCCGACAGTGTTTCATTTGGTTGTCATGCGGTTGCCATGAGTCTAGGGCAGTCTCAGTAGCTGGAAGCACAATGACAGAAACAAAGTTTTCAACTCTCGACTGCTCCATCTCCCCAGTGCACACATAGTGAACAATGTCACAACAGTGGTTAGATCTGATTACCAGTGATCTGAAGCAGCTCTCTGGTAATGTAGCGGTTACGAATCTGGCTGCTAACCTCAGGGTCAGCAGTTTGAAGCTACCAGCCATTCTGTAGGAGAAAGATGAGGCTTTCTGCTCCCGTAAAGATTTACAGCCTCAGAAACCCCGTACAGGGCCGCTATGAGTCAGCATCGACTGCACAGCACACCACCACCACCACCAAATGGAGTATAGTTGCAGTTGGGACTGATCATTAAAAGCAATGTGTTTGCACATTGCCCCATGATTCCACAAGAATTTATTAAGTGGTTTTCTACTCTAGCAGGTTGTGTGCTTCTTGTTGTTGTTAGGTGCCATCAAGTCGATACTGGCTCATAGCGACCCTATGCACAACAGAACAAAACACTGCCCAATCCTGGGCCAACCTCACAATTGTTGCCACACTTGAGCCCATTGCTGTTGCCACTGTGCCAATCCATCTTGCCAGGGGTCTTCCTCTCCTTCTCTGACCCTTCACCTTACCAAACATGATATCCTCTCCAGCAACTGGTCCCTCCTGACAATATGTCTGAAGAAGGAGAAACGAAGTTTGGCCATCCTGGCCTCCAAGGAGCACTCTGGCTGCACTTCTTCCAACACAGATCTGTTTGTTCTTTTGGCAGCCCATGGAACTTTCAATATTCTCCTCCAACACCACAACTCAAAAGCATCAATTCTTCAATGTGCTAGACACTGGGAAATAAGCCAGAGAGGTGAGCAAGACCAACCTGGTCTTGAGTACTCACTCACTCACTCACTCACTCACCAGATGTTGAGTCCATTTTATATTGTGCTAGTTTCTAGTTTAATCATTGGTGTAGAAAAAAAAAGAACCAAACCTAAAATAAGCCCTCCTGCTTATGTTCTAGTGATGGAGACAGAAAATAAACACGTATAATTTTAAGGGGTGAAAATTATAGAGTAAGAAATAGGAAGTAGTGTGAAGGGCTGGGCTGGAGGGTGCTGACTGGTGGCGGAGGTGAGATACAGTGTTTTATAAAGGGGGACTTATGAAAGTCTCTCTGAGGAGGAGATACTTATATAAAGATCTGCCAGGTTTCTTCTTGATCCAGCTGGGTCAGGGTCTGAGACTGAGATCATCCCCTCCTCTGTCTTAAAGGTTCCCCTAAGAGCTTCCCGACAGAGTCCCTTTCCTTTCGGCTGGGTTCCATGACCCTGTGTGCCTGTTGACCCTGATTTTGCTGAGTCAAGCCTTGTGCTCATCCCAGTGGGTTCAGGCTTTTTAGGTAAGTGCCTTCTTAGCAAAGTGGATCAAAACCCAGATTCTGACTCAGAGCAAGGGATGGTGAATGGTGGGTAATGTTTCTCAGTTCATCATGTGCTTGTTAAACATGCTGGGCCCCATCCCCAGACCAGATGGTTCAGTTGGTCAGGGCTGAGGGCTGCTACCAGACTGCAGGCTACATACACTGTGAGTAGCTTTGGCTTTTTCAGTGGTAGAATTCTCCCCTGCCATGTGGGAGACCAATGCATCTCATGCACAGCTACCACTTGCTACCACAGTGGCGGCTTGTATGTTGCTATGATGCTGGACAGGTTTCAGTGGAGTTTCCAGGATAAGGCAGACAAGGAAGAAAGGTCTGGTGTTCAACTTCTGACAACCAGCCAGTGAAAACCCTATGGATCATGGTGGTCTGATCCACTACCCATCTCGGGGAGAGTACATTTCCTTTTGTTGTACATGGTTCCTATGAATTGGGGGCCAACTCACTGGCAGCTAACAACAGCAGCTCTGGTGTAGAGGGTTGTGGCTGGCCTTTTAGCTCTGGATGAGGCTGTTAATGGAACTATAAAGGGCATACTCCTGTGTTTACTGACCCCAGCATTTTTCCACCACTGGCCAAGAAGAGGACTTATGGGAAACTGGAGTTATTCCTTATAGTGCTTTCCTGAAGGGAAGGGGTGGGAACAACCTCAGCTGAGCCTTCAAGGATTCTACTGGGGGTAGTGTAGAGCCTTGGGGAAGCTCGTTTTTAGAGTGCATACCTCAGGGAAACATTCCAGCCCTACACCCTATGCTTAACCTTATTTTGAAATGACTAGCCCTGGCAGCTCCCACTCTGATAGTTTAGGAATGGGCTCAAGGAATGGGTTTCTGAGTAGACCTATCAAAGAGGGTCAAATACTTTTCTTAGAGCCAGGCTTTTGAAGCTTACAAGGGCAATTCCTACGCTTTAGGATGAAGGAGCTCTGGTAGTGTAGTGGTTACTAATCGGCCTGTGAATCTTAAGGTCAGCAGTTCGAAACTACTAGCTGCTCCAGCCGTTCCGCGGGAGAATGATGAGGCTTTCTGCTCCCGTAAAGATTTACAGCCTGTACAGGGTCACTATGAGTCGGAACTGACTCCACGACAGGATAAAGGATAAAGCAAACAATCGCTGTCATTTATAGACAGGCTACCCTCGAGGCATAAGGAGTGGAAGGGAAGAAGTTGAGTTCCCAAAGCACTGATTATTATGTGCAAGATGCACAACTGAGTGATGACTGGCAGGGTGGATTGGAGGATAGGATGTACTCCATAAACAAGCAAGCACAGGTTTTCTTGTACTTACTGATGGTGGTGCTGTGCCATGCAGTTGGTTCTGACTCAGAGCGGCCCTCTGTAAGGTTTCTGATGCTGTAAATCTTTATGGGAGCAGAAAGTCCAATCTTTCTCCTGTGAAGTGGCTGGTAGATTTGAACTGCCGACCTTGTGATTAGCAGCACAATGCATAAACCATTACACTATCAGTGCTCCTGTACTTACTAATCTATAGTAAACAATTTCACATGGGTTGTATTAAAACTCATGTGGAACTGTTTACTCCAGATTAGTTTTGTTTCATCTAGTCAGTTTCCACCCATATTGATGCTATGCACACAGAATGAAACACTCACTGGCCCTGCTCCATCCTCACATTTGTTATGTGTAACCTATTGTTGCTGGCACTTTGTCAGTCAGTTTCATTGGGGGGTCTTCCTCTTTTTCACCGACCCTCCATTTTTCCAAGCATGATGTCCTTCTTGAGGGACTTGTCCCTCATGACATGTCCAAAGCATCAGAGACGAAGTCTCACATCCTCATCTCTAAGGAGCATTCTGACTG